TTCAATTCCTTAAACGGTCTAGCTAAAGAACCGAACCGTTTTAGGTCCCGGTTCACAATTCAACCGGTATGACCGGTCGGTCCGGTTCGATTCTGATAACACTAGTTTAAAAGACTATTATTTTCAAGTTAGAGGAGTTTGTGAAGAATTGCAGATTTACCATCTGTCCACTAATGATAAAACAACGTAAGGATTTGGATGTTGGTTTGAAGCCCAAGTATGAGCCTATATGTGCTCAGATCTTAGATGGTCATAGCCTTCCATCTCTTCTCGAGGTATTCTCCCGTTTAAGCGTGCTACTTTGTCAAATGCCCATTCGACTTCCGGCATTGATCATAGCTCTTCAACGGACCGCTCAGCTCTCGTTGTCTCTAATGGCAACAGTACTAATACTCGAGGTGGTCGTGGCAATTGTGGTGGTCATAGAGGACATAGTGGAGGCCAAACTAGTCGTGTATGTACTCATTGTGGTCGTACTAACCTCATTGTTGATTATTATTGGAATTTACATGGCAAGTCATCTGGTGCTGCTAATTAGGTTTCCTATCAGGACAATACTTCCCCATTACCTGAAGCATCATCTCGTTCATCTGCTCACGACTCTTTGTTAGTTACTATTACATGAGAGGAGTATGCTCAGTTTATGTCTCAGCAACAGGCAATAGTACAATACCATCTTCCTCAACTGCTAATTGCTTTCACTTGTTTACAATCCTTTACACGCAATCCCAGGATCTTAGACTTTGGTGTTTTTGATTACATGATTGATTCGTCTAGTGTCTTTTCTACTTGTCATTTTGTTACTCCTGTCTAGTGTTTCCTTTCAGTCTAGAGTCAATAATCATGTGTCTTATCCATTTGAGTTGGTATATTCTTATGTATGGGATCTAATAAATAATATTTCATCTAATAAATTTTCTTATCGTGTTATTTGTGGATGATTAATCTCGTGTGACTTGGTTATTTCTTATAAAAGCTCGTTCTAAATTATTTTTTATATTTGAGACATTCTGTATGGGAAAAAAACTCAATATAGTTGTCGTATTCATATTTTGGGTTTTGATAATGCCCGTAAATATGCCTCCAACCATTTTTCTACTTATCTTCATAAAGCTCGCATTATTCATCAAATTTCATGTGCTTCCACATCCCAACAAAATTGTGTAGTTGAGCGCAAGAATCGTCATCTGTTGGAAGTGAATTGCATACTTTTATTTCAGATAAATGTTCTTCATTGTTTTTGGAGTGATGTTCTTATTGTTTGTTATCTCATTAATCGTATACCCTCTTCTGTGTTACATGGGCAAATGCCAGATTGTGTCATTTTTTTCAATTCTTCCTCATTTTCCTTATCTCCTAAGGTCATTTACTGTGTATGTTTTCACAACTTGAGTCCCGGATTTGATAAACTTGCACTTCGTGCTATAAAATTGGTTTTTCTTGGTTATTCTCGCACAAACAAGGGATATCATTGTTATAGTTCCACACTTCGCAGATACCTTACTAGTGTTGATGTCACCTTCACTAAATTGATTCCATATTTCCCAACTCCTACTCATGCTCATGCTCTTGACCTTGACATTGGGCAACACCTCCAACACCACATCTTCTCTTACCCTCTGTTACTCTACTGCCTACTGTGCTACTACCCACTTTCTCCTTTGTCCCACTTTGTATTTACTTTCGTCGTCCGAGACCATCGACTGAGATGCCCCTACCGTCTTTCTTGTTGTCTTCTGACCATAGTGCCTCAGCTACTTCTGACTCTATACCCACTGCTCTTCGCAAAGGTACTCAGTCTTGTGCTACTAACCATCCTATTACTAATTTTGTTTCTTACTGGATTATCTCCTACCTTTTGTTGCTTTTAATCTTAGTTGTCCACTATTTCTAGTCCTAAGGCATTACAGGGTGCATTATCTGATTCGGATTGGAGGAAAGCTATGAAAGTGGAGATGCATGTCTTACATCATAATGAGACTTCGAATCTTATTCCTTTACCCCTAGTAAAAATAATGTTGGTTATCTATAAGCGTATACCATCAAATTTAATCCTAATGGTTCTATTGAGCGCCTCACAGCCCAACTTGTTGCCAAGAACTTTACTCAAACTTATGACATTAATTATGAGGAGATATTTTCTCAAGTTGCCAAAATTTCTTTTGTTCGTGTATTGATTCCATTGGCTGCTAATCTTGACTAGCTCTTACTCGAGTTAGATGTCAAAAATTGTCTTCTCACATAGTGACTTGGCCAAGAAAGTATATATATAGGGCAACCAACTGGGTTTGGTGCCCAAGGGGAGTATCATAAGAGTGTGTGTCGGCTAAAGAAATATCTCTATGGCTTAAAGCAGTCACCGTAGGTGTGGTTGGTAAATTTTGAGAGGTAGTGTTAGAGTTTGCTTTTCTCAGATGTCAAACAAACCATTTTGTTTTCTATAAACAAACTGAGGGAGGGTACATTCTACTAGTTGTTTATATGTATGATAATGTAATTACAGGTAATGATTATAAGAATATTGCAAAATAAAAAATCTTCTTGTAAGACCAATTTTATACTAAAGATCTAGGAAAACTCAGGTACTTCTTAAGTATTGAAGTTATCAAATCTAAGTAGGGCATTTATTTGTCTCAAAGAAAATATGTACTTGACATATTAGAGGAAGTAGGTTTACTAGGTGGTAGACCAATCGATGTTCCTATGGGTCCGAATTAAAAACTATTGATGGATGATGGTGCACTATTTGAAAATTCAAGTCGGTATCGAAGGTTGGTTGGGAAGTTAAATTATCTCACTATTACGTGACTAGATATTGCCTATGCAGTTATTATCATGAGTCAATTTATGGGATGCTCTAGAATACTACATTGGGATGCAGTCCCTCACATTCTTCAATACCTCATACATGCTCCTTGACTTAGGTTTTTTATCAAGCTAATGGACATCTTAGAGTGTAAGGTTTTACATATGCTGATTGGGTTGGTTCTCCCTCAGATCGAAAATCAACTATCGGGGAGATGTACGTTGTGACATGGAAAAATAAGAAACAAACTATGGTCGCACAATCCAACGTTGAGGCCGAGTATTAGTTCAACTTTCCTTACAGTTGTTCTATGATAATCAAGCAGCTCTTCATGTTCCTGTCAATCCTATATTCCATGAGAGGACCAAATATATTGAAGTTAATCGTCACTTTATTTGAGATAAGGTACTAGATGGAGATATTGCAATACCATTTATAAAATCTAAGGGTCAACTTGTTGATATGTTCAACAAAGCATTGAGTCACACTCCTTACATATTTGTTCCAAACTCGAATATATATATATATATATATATATATATATTCTAGATTGAGGAGGAGCGTTGAGAGTATTATTATATTGTTAGTATTTAATATGGTTGTAACAAGTATACCTCTCTAAAGGTATACTAGTCTTTTGTGTTTTATTAGGTAACTATAAATACAAGTTGAGAGTGATAGGTAGGGTAAGTAAGATTACTCTTTGACTCTCTCATATTGTATTTTAGTCATTCCATTTTCTAAACTTAACAAATTGGAATAAGTATACCCCTATAAGGGCATACCCTTCTTTTATGTATTCGTGGATAACTATAAAAATAAGTTGAGAGTGACAGGAAGGACAAGATACCACCTCTCGACCTCTTCTCACACAATTCTTTTTCCCAATTTGCCCTCTATTATTACTTTCTGAACTTCACAGAAACATCCAACTATCCTGGTGCCACCCTTACCAACACTTAGAGATCAACAAGTGAACAGAAATGGCCAGCAACGTATTCTCTTGTTTCTGGTATTACTATGTTGGGGACATCAAAACAAATATGGTATGCACAGTCAAAACAACTCAGTTCAACCAGGACCTCAAACATTTGATGATTGATAACTGTACTGACATGCATCTTTTGCCTAAGAATTCTATCAGATCATCTAGAAAAGGGGGAAAAACTCCAAGCAATACACAGTTGAAGCAAATGAAGAATCCACCTTATTTCAGTGATTAATATTTCTAATAAAAAATTAATCTACTCCCTGTTGAACATCATGCAAGATAGTTCATTCGAGTACACAGATCTGATGACCAATTACATTAATGGCATAAGTTGCCCATGTTGACTGAATCAGAATATAAAAGAAGAAGTCCAAAAACAAAGGGAAATGAAGTACAACTTCAAAGTTCAAGCCTGAAGCAAATGAAGCACTCAAACGATTGAATTTGTATGACTAGTGTGATAATTAAGAATACAACAACTCAGATTTCACAATATCAATTCATGTGAAATTAACAGAAACAGTACCATACTGTGAGCATCAGCTACACCACAAGCAATTTGAGGTTTTACAATGCTTGGAAGAGATAGTTTAGCTTCTACTAGCCTTTGCACCAAGGTGGGTTCACTGAAGTTATCAACCTGCACATTTAAACTCCAAAAGTAACGACCATTAAAAAAAAAAATCTCAATTCCACCTCTAGAAACCGAAATAGAATAATCAAATTCCAATAAGCTCTAGACAAACAATAAATATGGACAATGTCCATAGAATCTGTTAAGAGTATATTTAGTGTTAGAGTTGGGGGTAGTTTAGTCGCTTGATTTATTTTATGTTGCCCTAGTAGTACATATAAGACTTCTATTGTGTATTCTTTTTAATAATGAAGTAATTAAAGGTGTGTTTGGTAACGCTTTTGTTTTTGTGTTTTCAAAAAAAGAAAAAACGGAAACAATTTTTGTTTTTTCTGTCATAAAAATTGAAAACAGAAAATATATTTGATAGTCATTTATCCTTCACAAATTATGAAACCAAAAACATGTTTGGTAACCATAGGTCCTTTTCACAAACACTTCCTAACTTCTTCAAGCTGCGTAATAAAAGAAGACCAAAAGGAGCTAAACAAGCACATGGGAGTTGCATTCATGCCAATCAATGCACATGGGGGGCATCACAGACAAACTAGGTTTCAATTTCAACAGCTTCATGCACAATGTGATGAAATTTTTGCCATATATAGCAGCTGCTTCTGTAGTAAACTGTACAGTTGGCAAGCAAAGTCGCAGCGGAGACCCTCATCTATAGAAATAAGCTCATTTGAGAATGTCAGGCCTGGCATCATTCCCCCCTTCTTCAGCCAAAATATAGCACAAAAGCTTCCTGAGAAGAAAATTCCTTCAACACATGCAAAGGCAAGTGTTTCTGCAAACGAGGTGGAGCTCTGAATCCAATTCAAAGCCCACTTAGCCTTCTAAGCAACACAAGGAATGTTTCAATGGCCATTGAATTTGAACAACCATTTAAAAAACTTGATGCCAAATTTTCCAAAACAATTCCATTGGATGCAGCACAAAATGCCAATACATGGCTTACAAAGTGCTTCTCAGATTCAGATAAGGTTTCCCAGTGCTGGAAATCAAGAAAAAGATCGACCTCCTTGGCGGTCCAAAAACTGGCTTGAGCCTTCTTGTACATCTCCCAAATTTGTGGGTATCTAATGGGAAACATACAGAACCTCTGTGATTGCTCCATTAATATCAGTTCTTCTTTTTCTTCTTCATGTAGTAGTCCTCTCTCTGTTCCATTTCTTAAAGAACCCATTCTCTCTCTCTCTCTCTACAATCTGTTTTTCCTGTATATTGAAGGGTCTGTTCTGTAAGAAGAAAGTGAAACCCTCCACCCACAAAACCAAACAAACTGACAGATTTTGGGTTTGTTGATAGAGACTCTCTGACAGTCAATTTCCGTTCCAAAATACAGTCAATGGCACAAACACGCACACACACACATATCTACTTTTGCAATGAATAGTTAGTTCAAATTTAGTTGAATCGAGCATGCAAAATCAATTAAACCAAGTGCTTGATAAGGATTATATAACATAGTTTGAAGTAAACAAACAGATTACATCATTTGAGCACCCAATCAACTCCACATTACGTTAGTAATATGATGTTGCTCTCTTGACTTAATTAGCTTGAACAAATCGAACACAATTCCTAATGCTAATAATCTCAAGAAGCTATGAAGAATCTAACCATTCCCAGCAATCGACACCCAGACTCTCTCTCTCTCTCTCTCTCACACACACACACCCCTAGAAATCGAAACACACACACCCAGAAATCGCCACAAATTGGCACATACACAAACAGACACACACATACCCCTAGGAATCAACACACACACCTAGAAATTGACACACACAAACAGATACACACCTAGAAATCAACACACACACAAACCTAACAAATCTAACTCAGATCTACAGGCGAGAGAGAGACCTGAGTTGTCTTCATTGCACAGACAGAGGCGAGAAAGACCTTGGATCTTCGTTGGATGGAGAGAGGCCATGGAGAGAGAGGAATGGGAGAGGCGATGCTCTTCTATTACAAAGAGGAGAGAGAAAATGGAATGGGTTTAAATACTTCCACGAAAAAAGAATTTTTTGTTGCTAACAAAGCTCAAAGCCTAGATCTCATTAACTCTCCCTGCCCCACACGCGTTGTTTCTCTTTTTCCTTATTTTTGAGAACATTTGGGTTTGTATTTTGAAAACAAGTTTTTGTTTTCAAATACAAGAAAACAACAAAAATCTGTTTGAACAGATAATTTTTGGAAACAATTTCTGAAAATAATGGAGAACAAAGTGTTGATTATAGGAAACAACCAAAAAATATTTTGGGCTATTTTGGAGAAAAAATGAAAATGCGAGGAAGCAGGGGAAAGGGTTACTCTGCACTTAAAACTCCTAGGTATAAAAGCCTTTATTTTCGGCTTTCTGTCTCTCCTTGACTTTCTCCACTTCGAGTCTCAGACGGGAACAAGCTCCACACACACACAGCGTCTTCTCCAGCAACTGGAGATTGTCTTCTCCGACGACTAAGAGCTATTCGGATATGTTGATTTCTCCGGAGATTGCTTCAAATCTATATAGATCTATTTTTTTTTTCTTTTTGAATCTTGATTTTTTCAAGGCAATTGCTTCAGATCTGCTTTGGATATGTTTTTTTTTTTCCTATGGCTTCAAGATCTGCTTCAAATGATCAACTTCAGATGGGTAGTGCTTCAGATATGTTTCCCAGTGACCGAGAGCTCTTTGGTGTTAATCAAGTTTAATATATCAGACCATTTTGTTTTTCCGACGGCATTTTGTGTGACCATTGATCAAACTTTTTTCTTTGGATGGGCAGTGCTTCAGAGATTTTTGATTTAATTCTTTCTTTTTTGTTTTTATTGTATTTTATCATGTTTAATATATTGAAAAAAACTTATATGAAACACTCTATCCAAACATGTTTTACTATTTTATAAAATTGTTCTCAAAAACATGTTTTGGATACTGTTTTCTGATATGAAATCCATACACGCCCTCTTTTTTTTTTGTTTCTTATTTTTGGGCATTATTTTCAAAACAACTTATCTTATATACAATAGAAACACAAACTCAAACACGTTTTTATTTTTATTTTTTGTAAAAAGTGAAATTAAAAAAAAAACTAAACAAAGACACGAACCGAACAACCCCAAAGTGTGTGGAAGATATATTCTTTCTTTCTCTATTTCTCTCTTTGTTTTGATCAAAGTTTACTTGGTATCAAAATGGATACTGACCCAAACACGATCAACAACGCAACAAGTTCGTCTCGAGGAAATTTAGAATCTGAACTAGGATTGATGTCATCAACGCAGATGAAGATGTCAGTTCCCCAAGGGTCGCAAGACACACCATCCTGATCGATAACTCATGTACTTCAACATGGTGTGATTGATTTTTGATTTTGTGTTTGTTAGATGGGGATTATGAGTTTTCAAAAATTTATCAAGAAAAAATGCCCAAAATTTCAATCTTAGATTTCTTCAAGTTTTGATTGATTGTCTTGCTCCAAATTCCTTATGCAAGGTGTGAATTTGCCTCCTTGGAGTTCAATTCGATGCTTTGAAGCATTTTGAACGAATTTTTAATGCAAAATTGGTTGACATCTCCCCGTGGGCCTCAGTTCTTCTTATTGCTTTCGGTTCCTCTTATTGTTGGTGTTACAATACACTTCTGGAAGGTTTGGCTTGCTGGTCTCTTCCTCTTCTGCCTTCTTCCTCCTCTGCATTGCCGGTAGGTTCCCTAATCACAAACTCAGTAGTGGTTTCTTCCTCCCTCTCTCTCTGGTTTTTTCTTCTTGCCGAGGTTGGTGTTCAAATTGGCTTGGAGACTTCGGCTGGATTTTGTGATTTACTCGTGGGTTGTTGTTTACTTGGGCCTGGACTCGTTGTGGGCTTTGTTTGGCTGTGTCCTAGGTTTTGGTTTGGTGGGCATCGTTGCTGGTTGTTTTGTTGGGCTATAGTTTCTTTATTCTAGTGGGCCCTTCTTTGCTATTTGGGTATTGATTTGTTGAGCCTTCAATTGGAGATTTGACGAGCTTATTCATATTTGTCCTACTTTTGGTGAAGCTACTAGGATTTGGCAGATATTGCTAATTGCTAATTGCTGAATGCGTATATTATGGTTTGAGTTATTGCTTTCCTCAAAACTTTGATTTATTTGGATTTTGCTGGCTGCTAGCCCTTGTATTGGGCCTTGAGCTTTGTATTTTGAATTGGTTTAGTTGAACTGAGTGTTGTTATTCGACTCTCAGTATTTGCAATTATGACAAGTGAAAACTTTTACTCTCATCGGCCCATTAGTTTAAGATTGACTATGATTGCCAATCAGTTATAAAATCTCCTTCAACGGCCTAATACTCTCTCAGTCTTTCCTTCCATTGGTTTCTTCTGGTTATATTGTATTGGATCCACGTTCCAAGAAGTTGATTCGGACAGACAATAGAAAAGGAGGATTGTATGTGTTAAATGAGTTATATGTTCCTGATATTGTTGCTTCTACTATTGATTTGTCTTCTTTTCATTTTAGTCCACAGTTTTTAAATTTTTATTTTTGGCATTCTCGCCTTAGACATGTTTCCCTCGTTTGAAATTTTTAGCTTGTACTGATAATTTGGGTAAGTTAGAGGGTCATGACATTTCTAATTGTAGTGGATGCAAGTTAACTAAATTTACTGCATTATCTTTAAACAAAAGTTCTACTAGCTCTCTTGCATCTTTTGATTTGGATCATTTTGATATTTGGGAAATAACTCTTATTCCTACAAAAGGAGGGTCCAGATATTATGTTAAATATTGTTGGGTTTATCCAATGATGCATCGTTCTGAATTCTTTTCTATATTCACTACTTTTCGTGCTATTATACATGCCCAATATTCTACATTTATTAAATACTTGCGATGTGACCAAGGAAGATAATATTCTTTCAATTCTTTTTATGATCTATTAAAATCTAATGACACTGTTTGTCAATCTTTTACCGAAATATCTGAACAGAATGGTGTAGCAGAACGCAAACACTGACATATTATGGAGACAACACGCTCTCTTTTGTTGTCGGTAAATGTCCTAAGATCTTTTTAGGGGGGAAGCAATCTTACTGGGGTCCATTTGATTCACTACATTCCCACTATCAACACCTCTAAAATTTCTCCCTTTGAAAAACTACGTTGTAAACCACCTGATTATTTCCCTTAGCGTATATTTGCATGAACTTGATTTGTCTTGCTTTCTAGTACTCTTCGTACTAAATTTTTTGCTTGTTCAACTTTATGTGTTTTACTTGATTATGGTGAGGTCAAAAAGGCTATCGTTGTTATGATCTTGTTGCACACAAACTCTGTCTCTCGTAATGCTGTTTTCATGCATATTCCCTTCTCTATTCCATCTAGTTTGTCATTTTTGCATAAATATGATCTCATTTATATTGCCTCATTTCCGATTGATATTCTCTCTAACACTTATGTTGGTGATGTGATTGTTTCTGATATGCCTTTCTCTTCTGAATTGCCAGTCACTCATCCCGGATTATGCTTCTCGCTATCCTCAGCGACCTTGTAATGTGCAGCTTACTTTGGTTTCTCTAACTCTTGTTATTGTACTGATTTTTGTTCTTTCTTACCTTCTATACACTCTTTCGTAACATATTCCTTACAAGAAAGTTGTTCTTGATCCTCTTTGAAAACAGGTTATGGATGAGGAGATTGCTGCTTTTAGGGGTGGAGCTAGAAATTTTGCTCAGAGTGAGCACTTTAATTATATACTCTAATTTTTTTCCTTCTAACCAATCACACTGTATAACACATTTATATTTATTATATTATATTTGATATATGAAGTCCATTTAACATAAAAAAATTCCAAAAAAAAAAATGTATATTGCTAGGGGCGGAGCCATGAATATCTATGATATAGGCAAAATATAACTGGTATAAAAAAACATTAAGCCGAAATTAATACAAAAAAATTCAATTCAAGAATAAAAAAAAATCAAGAATCAACATTAAATTATTGTGAAATAGTAAATTCAATTTTTATTTAGTAGAAACAAAATCTTAACAAAAAGACAAAATAATTTTTTTAGTACATTTTAACCTAATTATATATTTCAATAAAATATAAAAAATTTAAAAATCTCTAAAATTTTGTATATGAATTAAATGTAAAATAATTTTTCACTAATCCAAAACTAACATATTTATTTTAGAGAGTTAGTGGTCCACTAA